ATACTTTATGTCCAGGCATCATACCACAAATAGTAGAAGGGCCAAGGGCCATGGCGATGACTCCCTTTTTTAGAGGGAAAGTAAAAGCTTTGCCAGAAACCCCCTCAGCAAATGTCTGCTGACATCTCATTGGCCAGAATTCTGTCACGTGCTATTCTGAGTTGCAAAGAAGGCTAGGAAATCTAATGTCCTGCTTCCAAAGCTGTGAAAGGCAAGGGAGAGCTAGGATGATGTGTTGAGTGAGGTAACCTGTGGTGTTTACTGCATCTGGATAGACCACGAAAACATAATATTGAGGGGAGAGAAAGAGGGGGAGAGAGAGAGAGTAGTAGAAAGAGATGGGAAGTACAATATACTGTTTGTGTAAATTTAAAAATCCATACACACAAAAAGCTATATATCATTGTAACGGTATATGTCATATGTAAAAAAGTTATGGAAAGTTGACTGGAAAGGTACCCATTAACTACTACAGGGTGGATGGCTATAGGAAGGGAGGAGGGAATGGAACTGAGGCTGGGGGATACAGAATATGACAATAAAAAATAGAATAAAACAGGATTTAAAGGGCCAGTTCCATCAGTTGAACTTTAACTGAGGAGCATGACTGATTGTGTCAATCTAATTTTGTGCACTCAGGACCCAGGAGAGGGGGCCAGCCCTGTAGCTTAGAGGTTAAATGCGCGCGCTCTGCTACAGGTGACCTGGGTTCAGATCCCGGGTGCGCACCGACGCACTGCTTGTCCGGCCGTGCTGAGGCGGTGTCCCACATACAGCAACTAAGAAGGATGTGCAACTATGACATACAACTATCTACTGGGACTTTGGGGAGAAAAAGGGAAAAAAAGGAGGAGGATTGGCAATAGATGTTAGCTCAGGGCTGGTCTTCCTCAGCAAAAAGAGGAGGATTGTCATGGATGTTAACTCAGGGCTGATCTTCCGTCCAAAAAAAAAAGACCCAGGAGAAAAAAAAGTAGGGATGGCTTGGGGGTGTGTGTGTGTGTGGGTTACTCAGACTGTTGGGCAGGGCTTTTCTTTAGAGTTGAAGAAATGTGATTCACTATGTTTACGACTGGGTTTATTTTACCTTACTCTGTGATCAGCTCCATTCTTTTCAGGACAGTTGAAGGCCTGATAGGAATGATGTTATAGTTTAAGTTTAGTGACTATAGCACTTATTTTTTGGGCAATATAGGGATATTACAAGTTTTGCAAAATTGATTTTCTTTGTTTTTGTGTATATATCTCTTTTGCTTTGTACTTCAGAATTAGTAGAATTGACTTTTAGAGAGTCACTGGGGGACATGAGTAAAATAAACATGGCTACTTGGTAGTGAAATCCATCATTCTCTAGTTTTCTGTTATTATCTTTGGAAACAGAGTGGGAGAAAGGATTTCCTTCCTCTATCTCTAATATAGCCTCAGCGAGTGACTGGCTCTCTGCTCTGGAATGAAGCAGTTTGGCACAATTCCATAAGTCTTATGTGGGAACAAGACACCAGAGGTTTCTATTTTTTGCTTGTTGTCATTCTTTTGCTTTTAGTTCAGTATTCTGTTCTTTAACCATCCCATACCCAATCCTCTAAATAAACATACACAATTTATTAGTATGTGTTAGTGTGTCTTTCGTTTTTTCTGTTAAGCATTTGTTACAACTTTGGAAGCAGCTCTTAAGCTCTTTCATTTTAGGACCATGTTTCCTTGTTACCTAATTATAATTATTATCATGGATGGGGTAGATGACTTCCCTTGGTGAAACGAATTTAATTTGCTAAATAAAAATGTGTCAACTTAATGACTTTTCATTGATTTTTAAGTCAGATAGGCAATCTGTTTGCTGTCTCTCACAGCAGCCTCCTAAAATTCTATGGCATTTGATTTGGAAAAGTAGAATTTCTCAAAGAGAAAACCATCTTTCTACAAAATAACAATAATTGATTAGTGAATTATTTAGCAGTGTAATTAGCACTTTATTAGAGTCTATGGGTAATTTTATAAGTAATTCTTCATAGCAACCTTACAGGTCTCATTTCACAGCATGAGGAAGGCAGGATAAATGGGGGTCAATGTGGATGAGGCCAGACAGAGTAAACTAGAGCTTGAGTCTGAACCTTGAGTTTCTGCTTATTCTTTTCATGACTTACCTTCTTTTCCTACCCTTAACAGGTACTTGTTTTGCAAAGTACTATCCTTGGTGGCTTATGTCTCTCTACTCTCAGACTTGGTTTAGGGTGTAACATGGATGCATAGTTATCATATCTCTATCTCTAGGCTTGATTTTTCTCCTGAGCTCTATGATTCAGTGTTTTCAGCTGCCCATGGGACATAACCCATTTGCGCATGCCAGTCACACCTCAAACTCATCATACCTAACATATGTCAGAGTTAAAGCTTGCTCTAGACCTGCTCATTGGTGTGAATGTTATCTTTTTAGGGAGATAATAAGTTGTTTTCAAGATAAAATGAAATATATTAAAAGTATATTGAAAATTCAAATAGAGCGTAAAATGTATGGAGGCATTTTTGCTAAAAGTAAAAAGGATTATTTTAAATAAGTAGTGTCTAGTCACTAGTCATTCAATCTCCCCTCCCCCTCAAAGCATTTGTTTAAAAAAATTTTTTTAGCCAAAAATGAGTTGAGACTAACAAGACCTTTTAGATGTAGGTTCTTAAGCCACCTGAGGAAACCAAAAATTGCTGAATGAGACATAGTTCAGGATGTGTCAGAACCGAAACTCAAGAGTTGGAAAGTAAAGTGGAATGGCGTGGTTAGATGAAAACAGAAAAAAATTCATTATCTGTATGTTCTAAAATGTGTAGATGATTGGTGAAAAGGATAAACAAATTACTGGAAAAACTAATTTTCCAGTTTTCTTCTGGATGCTTATCTTATAAATTAATTTGAGAAATAATTCTCTCTTTTATATTATAAAGAATGTATCAGTTTAGAAAATTAGAGATACAAAATTTATGAAAGACTCAATAACAGTTGAAGAGATGTTATACTTTATTTCCAAATGTAAAATATGATTTTTACATGACTACCATTAGTTATTATATGAGGAAAGAAACTGCCACATTCAGATATTAAAAACAGTTTTGCAAAGTACTATCTTTGCAAAGATAGAGTGAAGAACCCAAAACTTGTTTTCATTATCAGAAATAGAATTCTTTTTTAAAGGAAAAGAAGCTATAATTTCCTATTTTGAATCACAATTGAGGAAGAGAATGATTATTTCTTATTTCTTTGGAGAATTTAATACTTTAACATAAAGGATGTGTCATTAGTAGCAAGTCTGGGAGCATGAAAAGAGAGATCACTCTTTGAGCCTTTAGATCTGTTTTATTTTTGCCACCGTTAACTTAGTAAACTTGATGTTTGTGACAATAGCTTCAGAGAAGCATTGAAAATTTTTATCTTATGTCAAGATAAATTTGTGGTAGTTAATGATTTTAGCTAATGGATGCTAAAATCTTTATTTTTAGAGTAAATCAGGCAAATCAATGTACATGCTTTTCCAAACTTAAGTGGGTATTAAGTTGTAAAATAAGGAGTTTGTAGCTTGTGTGAGGACTTTATTAATCATAACATTGCATGATCATGAAGAATATAATAATGCTGTCTTTTTGGGAAACATATCTTCTAAAATTAGCCTATAGCTTCTAATATATAATAGAAAAAATTAAACAGGGCAATTAAAAATATTAAACAGTTTATAAATGTCATAATGTAATTTTGAAGAGAAATTATTTTGTTTTATAGTGTCGTTCTATTTTCTTTGGAATTTGTTTTGGATTTACTAATAGGGCTTGGAATCTTTATGTAGGGTTTTTGTTTGTTTTTTTGTCCCAGAAAAATCTAGGGTTGTGGAAAGTCATTCTGATGGTTGAACCCAATTCCAAGGCTACTTCTTGGCCTTCTACTGCTTTTCTTTTATTACCATGAAGATGTATCTAACTAAGCTGATAGAGGAAGAAATAATGGTAGACTTTGTCACAGATGAGAGATATTAAACACTAATATGGGCTCTGTAAGTGAAATTTGTATGGGCAAAATAAAGTGGTATATCTCTAAACGCATTTAATAAGGGAAGTTGAGATGGTGTGTTCTACTTCCTAGTTCAAGTATGAAAATAAGTGTCATTGGGTGCAATACTGTGGGATTGCAGCATCAAGTGATACCCTCTGTTGGCTAAATGAGGGATTGCATTTAAAAAATGAGTGGCTTTTTTTTTTTTTTTTTTAAATAGAGCTGATTGCTGTGTAAAAGGATTGAGCAGTGCAGAGTATTGAGAAATAATTTAGGAAAAATTATAAATGTGAAGAATGAAGCTAATGTATTATTTAAATAAATATTTCCTGAAGTGCAACTAATATGGAAATACCCATAATTGAAATTTCCTCATCTTTTGATCTATTTTTTAACCATGGATGTAGGCCATAGGGAAAGAACACAGTAGGGAGTAAAATACGTAGGTCTCCTGCCCACCTCCAATAACAAATGTCATATATAATTTTGATTACATATTAATTCTGATTAACCAAGATATTTAAATTACTTTCATTAGTTAAATTACTGTTGTAAGAGTAATTGGCAAATATGTAGAGGTGAGATAAGAACTGCTTTTCTCTGGGTACTCCGTCTTAATTTCTATTAAAAATAATTGAAATATTCTTAAGTAATTTAGAAGTTTGATAAGTTCAACGAAGTATCATATAGCATGTTTGTTTTAAATTTTTCCTTTCTACTTTTTAAATTCTTAAAGCCATTTTGGAATTTACAGTGTTTTGGGCACATAATGCACACAGAAGTTATGTTTAAAAGCTTGTACTGGACAATATGTTATTATTTCATTGCAAATTTGAAAAATATAATTTCAAGTCTCATTCTACTGTTTGATGTTACTCTTCACTGGCATGTTGCTTTAAGAGTACCCATCCCCCCTTCCTGCTTGAGCCACTGTGTCCTGTCAGTCATCCTGAAATACACTAGGGTGCTTGTCAGGCTGTTTGCTTACAGATGCATCATAAGCCAAATTGTGAGCCATAATAGTGGCACTGAATTTCTAAATACAAGAAATTGCTTAGACAGTTGGTTTAGTATCTGTCTATGGGCAATACTCTGTCCTGCAGTAGGTGAGTGAAGTGTCAAACTTTTTAAAATCAAACTTCGCTATAAAGCAAATCCTAATAATTGTAGATTATCTGTTGTTTGGTTAGATAACTTTGGGGGAAATTAAAGGACATTATTTCTATAAAGTGGGATGAATAGAAACTACTATGTTTTGCATTTATTACTTTTATAACTAATTTTCCTTCTAATAACACTAAACTCTAAACTATTTTGTGAAAGCTCCAATTTTGTAAATATCTAGTTTTCCAAGTAGATTAACCGGCATTTCAGATTTAGATAAAAATATGATTCTCTTACACATTTTTTCTTTCACAACAACTCAGGCAGACTCAATTGAGCAGAAAGGCTCAATTCTGCTATTTGGAGTGTTTATTAGTGGTTTTAAAAATAGTGCTACAACAAATTCTCATGTGCCAATGCCCAAGCTATAGTAGTCTTACATCAGAGCATTTAAAACTTCCTACTGTGTAACTGAGCTATTACTATTTGAGTAACTGCATGTAAGACAGTGGAAGCTTTACATTCTATAGACATAAAAGTTGTGCAGCAAGCAGTTTCTTTATTTGTGCAAACAATTTAAGCTTAAATTGTGCGTGGATGCTTTTCCTGTGTTTTTTGTATGCAGGCTTAAATGTTTTTAGGCAGAGAATTGATAAAAGTTCCTTCCAATAAAAGAAGGAACTTGTGGATTCTGATACTTGTATATTCAACATGGTGGAGAATAGTTAAGAGGCAGCAAGGAGTTAAAGTTTTAAGGCTTCATCTAGGGTATCATTGCAGATACATGGAATGATTATTTATTTATTCCTTACATTGTTCTAGAAAGGATTTAAAGTGACTTACAAGGCTACGTGAAATTCGAGATAGGATAAATTAAAAGTGGAGAGTAAAAAGAAAGAAAAACAAGTATGAAGATATGAAACAGAGGCAGGAATAAGGCGACAAATGCAGCAGTTCTTGACTATGGGTTTATGATACTGGTGTATTATGGATTGATGAGAGAGAAAGTAAAGGGTTATGGAAATCTTATGGGGGAATTTCATGCAAACTAGCTGTCTCCCTTACCAAGGGTGGCAGTCCAGAGTGAGGAGAGTATGTTGGACAGTGAATATTAACTGCACTTTAAATGTCACTGTGTTTTGGTGGAAAAAAAAGTTGAGAACTGCTGCCCTTTTAACCCACACACTGATATATGTGGGCATAAGTGTGGATCCAAGTTTTCTAGGAGCAGAAAAAAATTTGGACTTTTAATTCAGAAGAAAGATTAAAGAGGCTTAGTTTTTTGGAAACAACAATAAGTTATCTAAATAAGGTCAAATATCTACGTATTAGAATGGACATGATCAAGACAATGTTTAAAATAAAATGTATTTAGCAATTTTGTGTGAATCGAGTCGTCATATTTTTTTTCTAATAGATTGTTGTAAATGAGATTGGTTACTGCCCTTCCTTTCACTCTTTCAATCTAGTGATAAATTTAACTTGAATTTCAACTTCTGTTAGGTCAAAATTAACTGGATCAATCTAACTGAGAAAAAAGTTGTTGGGTAGGAGGAAGGAATTCAGAGGCAGGACTCCTTAATGTATTTTGATCTTCAAATACTCAAAAAACAACTACTGTGTTGAAGACTTGGGGTTCTGTGCCGTGCACCATACTAAACCTGGCTTGTGTAAGTGAGCCAGCTTAGAAACTCAGCGCTTTCACCCAATAGTACTGAAAAAGGACAAAAGTGTAACAGTTAAAATTTTGCTAAGGATCTTCAGTGATTAACATGATGAGTCAGGGACAATCATTTGGCTCTTTCTTTTTTATTCCATTGTTAAAAATAAGATCAATAAGAAATAATTATTTTTAAAAAAGCAGTACAAAAACAAAGAAAATGCTCAGCTTTTTTTTTGTAGTTTTGTACTGTAAACACATATGCAGGTTGACTTAGAGTTCTTCAGAAAAAATTATAAATCAGATAATACTTCAGATGCATGGGACAACATTGAGGATAACCTGGAAACACAGGTTTAAAGCTGGAAAGCAAATATTATTAAGAAGTTAAGTAGGGTTTAGGCACCAGATAAACTGAGTGATGTACCAGAGGGGTCAAGAATGCTTAAGAAAAGCGAATTAACTTTTGAAAGTATTGGTTCAGAGATCTTAGTGTGAGATCCACTCAAAGAGCTTATAGAACCAATGGATATCAGTAGAAATTTGTAATTATATAGTAGAAGAAATAATCTAGAAATATTTTCTATGTCACTGGGGTAAGAGATGAACAGAAAAATTTTTTGAAAGTCAAATTTATTGAGGAAAAAATTTATATACATTAAATTCACTCTTTTGAGTTTACCGTTTGATGAGTTCTGGCAATTGTATACAGTCATATAACCACCACTGTAATCAAACAGAGCATTTCCGTTGATCCAGAAAGTTTCCTTGTACCCTCTGCAGTCAATCCGCTCCCTTCACCCTTGGCCACAGGCAACTACTGATCTGTTTTCTGTCCTTATATTTTTGCTCTTTCGAGAATGTCGTATCAGTGAAATCACACAGTGTGTACTTTTGTCTGACTCTTTCACTTAGTGTAATGCTTTTGAGAGATATTCATGTTCTTGCCTGTGTGAACAGTTCATTCTTTCTCTTGCATAACATACCACAAATTGTTTATCTATTCACCTGTTGATGGAAATTTGTTTCCACTTTCTTACTGTTATGAATAAGGCCACCACGAACATTTGCATATAGGTCTCTTTGTGGACATATGCTTTATTTCTTTTGGGTAAATATCTAAGGAGTGGAGTTGCTGGGTCATAGTATGGGTATATGTTTAACTTTATAGGAAACTGCCAAGCTGTTTTCTAAAAGTGGCTGTACCAGTTTTCATTTTCACTAGCAATGTGTGAGTTTTCCAGTTGCTTCTGGTAGTTAGATTTAGACGAGGCTTGATTAAATTTAGGTTCAATTCTTTTGGCAAGAATGCTTTATAGGTGGTGTGGTGTACTGTTGCATCACTTCCGGAGGCATTGAGTCTGAGTTGTCTTAATTTAGGTGATGTTAAGATTGATGAGTACATTCAGGCCTTGTAAGCCTGATTCTCAAAATTCCCCATTAATCATTCACCTAATGGTTTTAGCCTTCATTGATGATCACTGTCTAGATGTATTATATTTTTAAGGGTTGTAAATGGTGATTTTATCATTCTATAATTCTTTATTAGTTTTTATTGGTTGGAATTATTTTATAAAGAAGAACTCTTTGCCTCTTTACTATTTCATTACCCTGAAGTATAGTTCATACCAGAAAATCAGGAAAATACTTGATTATTTTCCATTATTTATCAATTTTCAGAAAAATAGGACAGTATTCTAGCAACTCTGAAAGGTGACCAATGAGTTTTTGTTTTTCGAGCAAGTGAATTTTTATATACTGGATATGTTTCAGCGTTTGCATTCTTTATTCTTTTGATGTGCAGTTTCCCCTTTTTGACCATTGAGAACCCCTTTAAATTGGCTCCTGAACCTTTTGACAAAACCCAAGTGGACCTTGCTTTCTAGCACAAGATGTTCCAGGCTCATTTTGTACGTTTCCTGCCACAGACCTTCAACCAGCCTTTCCACCAAGGAACCTAGTTCCTTTTATTGGGAAATAGTAATTAGGCAACACAGTCTATGCACTAGGTTGCCATTGCTGCCCATTTTTGTGTGTGTGTGTGAACAGAGCTAGGAAATAGATAGATATATATATTTTTTGCTGAGGAAGAGTCACCCTGAGCTAACATCCATTGCCAATTTTCCTCTTTTTTTTCTGTGAGCTGCCGCCACAGCATGGCCGCTAACAGAGGAGTGATGTAGGTCTGCGCCCAAAACTGAACCCAGGCTGCGGAAGCAGAGTGCACCAAACTTAACCGCTAGGCCACCAGGGCTGACCCAATAGATATTTTTTAGGAAAAGAAAAATATATAATGAGATCATACTGATATTTCCAGTTCAAGCTTCAGATTACAGAGTTTTAACTTAATTTTTTTGATTTTATGTTTGTATCTCTTTTTTTGTTATGCTGGAAATCTTATTTCCTAGTAACGTGAATATAATTATTTATTTGCTTTATCCTAATGTGTATGTGTATACATATGTGTGTATGTGTATATATATATGTATATATATGTGTATATATGTATATAATAAGAATATATATATGAATACTAAATGCAGTTTAAGATTACTTTGATGTTCTTTTTGTCCTAGAAGATATCCCTCTAGGGATTAGAGTAAATACTGTGTTTTGAAGTTCTTGAAGTTATTTGTTTCTATGTGATTACAAAGCTAACATGAAATATAGTTAAGGTTTTTTTCCTTTAGATTTTTTGGGATTGATTTATGAGTTAATTGTTTTTTAGTTATGTAAAAATTTACGTGGTTCCAAAGTTAAAACTCTAAAACTAGGCATGTTCAGAGAAGTCTAGCATTCATCTCTGTCTCCTCTATTCTTTCTCTCCTCCTAAGGACAGCAATTTAAATTTGTTTTTGGTTTATCTTTCATGTTTTTTTTTTTTTGAAAATATAGGCAAGAATGCAGATGTTTTTGCAATATCACCTTCTTATGTAAAGGTAGTATACTGTAAACACTATTCTGTACCTTGCTTTTTCACTTAACACTGTAACCTGGTAATCACTCCATAGAAGCATATAGAGAGAACTTCCTCACTCCTTTCTACAGCTGTATAGTACTTGTTTGTGTGGATATAAGATAATTTCCTTTTTTCTTTTTCTTTTTCTTCCTCCCTCCCTCCCTTTCTTCCTTTCTTTCCTTTTAAAAAAATTGCTGCAATGAATTGCCTTGGGCATACATCACTTTTTATTTTTGCTAGTTTATATTTGGAGTAGATTTCTAGAAGTGAGATTGCTGGGTCAAAGGGTAAATATATATATATACATACACACACATATAGGTACATGTATTGCAAATTTACTCTCTATAGGGGCAATGTTTTTGCGTATCCACAAGCAATGT